TGCTGCTAGAGTCCATTACAGACTCACGTGTAGCTGTTTTCACAACCAAACAGTCAACCCACACGTTCCACACATCTGGTCTCTATTCGAGGAACCAAAGCGGCTGTGGTCCTACCTGCTTTAAATTATCATAGAAACTACCTTCAGGAAGAGCCGTTGCAGCCTGACTCCCAGGCTTCAACCACCTTCAAAACATTCGGATAATGATCAAATTATCTTTCATTTGGTAGCCTTCCAAGCCACGACTCTGTGTGTGTGTCGTGATCGATTCCAGCGTGTCCATTTTATTCTAGTGAAGAATGTTCTGATTTTCTGTGCTGCCAGATTCGCTTGGTCTCACTAGCTCTTTTCGTTGCAGCCGACTGTCCGAGCCTCTCCGCCAATTGGTGGTTGGCTGATAGTGTGCTTACGTGTACCAAGCACGACCCGGCCCCCACTACATTTATCGGGATACACCGAAGAACATGCATTCCACTTTCATCCAGGTCGCCTTGGGGGGTGTGCGTGGCTGGTGATTATGAGATAGGGACCTCGGTTTTCACCGGAGAAAGATGAATATGGCTAGGGCTGTCTAAAAAATGACAAGCCTGAGAGAATCGAACATGCGATCTCCATGAAGTGATTGGGAAGAAGAAAATGAGCTCGCTAGCACAAGAATTTTATTGGCCTGATGTTTCGGATTCTCGCTTGAACCCATACTCGAAGAAAATCACAGGAAAGGGCTGACAGAGACATAGGGTGCCACAAAGCTTGTGATGGCCTAAAAAACAAAGGGAAGCGACAAAAACGTTGCAAGTTCTCAACCTTCAACAGTAACCATCCGATCAGTCACAAACGCAGTTGCGTAAGGGCGCTATATAAGGGTGTTGAAACGCATTAAAGTCAAACGGAAGACAAATTTGCTGAATTACAATATCTTAGACGGGCACTGAGAGTGAATGGCTGCCCATGCAACTTTGTCAAAGAGTGCACACGCAAACGAGACGAGAGCCCAATTCCAACTGGCCCTGAAG